TATGTTACACAACTCGAAAAAGGCTAGACCAAAATTAAAAATTTATTTTCTTTTTTTTCTTAGAATCGTAGTTTTACAGGTAAGATTAGTACAATACTTATTTATTATTTAGTTTTATATAATACAGCAGTATTACAAACAGCAATAGCAGACGGTAATTGTAGATTTATTAAAACTTGCATTTAAAGTTTTCAGTATTTTTATTACAGTGACTTTAAGTAGTTGTTTAAAAACCCACGGACAAATCGTTTCTTTTATGTTATTTATTTATCTTTGTGTGCGTCTTATTTATTTCGAATAATAATATTATTTATAAATTTAGGACTTTTTTGATAATTGTTATGCGAGGGCTACAGTACTAAACAGACCTCACGATACATTAAAGCCATTTAGTGACTAATGATAGCTCTTATTACAACTACGTTAAGAAGACAAATATCTTTTTATTATAATTATCGTGAGACAAACTAAATTAACTAAAAATCGCGGGTTACTCACGTGATTATACTGAGAAAAGCTCTACTAGTTTCGAACAGAGGAAGAGGGCGCGTTGGGCTAGATGCACAAGTAGCAACACCGAGGCCAGCGCCAACGCTAGCCAGTGAGCTGCGCGACATCGCCGCGACCGCGCACGCTGCTCATAAGGAAGAACCCCTCTGTGGTTCGAGACTAGTAGAGCTTTTCTCAGTAAAAAAAAGTAAAAAACAAAATATAATTAAAAAAAAAATATCTAATTTGTTAATGATAAAAATTGACAGATGGTTAATATTTATTGTTATGTTCATTTTAGTTGCGACTATTTTATATTAATTTTTAAGATTATTTTAATATAGATTGCAATAACTGTCAGTGTTAGTAGATAGCCGAGTGATTGTCAACAGTTGCCTTAATAGTTTAGTGATAGTGATAGCTTACAACTTGTTCCTGTTTTGTAAAACTGCGCACTGAATACAGATATTGAAAAACCATTATTTGTTTTATTTCTTACAACGACCCCACTACACGATGGGCATGGTTGACATGAACGCCGCCACGGTAACTTTTAGGATAAGTCACGACCCGTTCACTCGCTGTATTTTGCATATTATTTACTATATAATAAAGTATTTGAAAACAAAACAAAGTACCAAGCACGGACGTTGAGAAATAGGCGGACATAATGTCACTTAGGAGTGATTGAAGCACCAAAATATCAGTGGGTTATTAATGTATTTGTGGGTTCCCACATGACCAGACTAAAGGAAATGACAGATGTCCTTCGTGTCAATGTGTTTATATTCTGCGTGTAAGTCTATAGTAACCAGGTGCCATAGGTGTGCGTTACCCAGGCCAGTTGTTGTCGAAAATGGTCATTTGAATCTTATAGATAATTAGTTGTGCGGCTTCTGTAATTGTTGCGCACATTTTAAATTGGTTGTGCTTATAGTTTTTTAATTATTTCACAAAAACATTTCCTGCTGGGGTAACGTTACCCCAGCCAGACCTTTTTCTTTCTAATGGGAATATTTAAATAATTACTAGCTATAAGATTAATTGTCTAGATGAAATAAATGTTTGTAGTAAGTGAAATAATGAATTTTGTATTGATTCTTTCATCGGTTGCGAAGTTATTCGAGATTCTGCTGGGGTAACGTTTTTGGTTTTGCTAGATCTTTGAAATAGTTATTTCAAAGATCTTATTATTATATATTTTGTACACGGCTTCTTAGGAATAAGTTTAAGTTTGTTCTGCAATAGAAACAACCAAATTAATACATACAAGCCGGGGCTCGAAGAGCAGTAGTAGGAACGGGGTAGTTTTTAGTCAGTAAGAATCACACACTCCCCCTCTCGCCTCACCCAAGGTGGGTGAAGCCATTGGATGATTTCCACCCCAAAAAAACAAGAGCCATCTGGTACATTTTCATAGAAATTCTGAAGTAATTCGTTCTTCACGAATGTATTTTGAATTAACTATTATTAATACATCTCCTATGATGCTATGAACTCGTGGTACCTCGGAACAATTACGACGTATGTGTTATTTGATTCAAGAATATGTGTGGCCGTAAAAATAATAACCAGATGGTGGACGGGTCGTGTCTCCTAAAAACAAGCTAGCAATAAGTATGTACTACTTCTATTATAATATAATATTAGGCGATACGTCTAGTTTTTGAGAATTTTATAAAGATTTTATGAAAATTATGTGTATATTGATTTTTCTCGTGTCAAAGGGATACTGTAGTACTGTGCTGAAGGCCATGATACACACTACAGCGTAATATGTCACATCCAATTTTTGCAATAAGCAACAGGATTGTTACAAATAAAACTCCATTTAAAAAAATGTAAACGATTTATTTCCAACACCATTTTATACAAAAATAACACTAGAACGGAGATTATAGAAAACAAATTCAAAATATTTGCATCAAACTTAATTTACTAAAATATTCTAGGTACTATAAGTATTGTCTCTTTGGATATAACATTTAAAATATAGAATGACAATGTCTGTTAGTTTTCTGTTAGTCTAACTGACGGATAATCAATCTGAAACAGAGATTAGCTAGCATCTCAATATCTTATAAACCTGTTTAGACTGCGATCTCCAACCCTGCCTGCCAGGCGGGAGATTATGGAAAACCCCTCTTATGTAGAGGAGGCTGCAGAGTCCAGTAGTAGACTGTGAACTATTTTATGTTTCTTATAATAATTATTATAAAAGTATGGGAATCGTCAT